ATCACAACCGGGGGGAAGAGAGTTTGCTACTGGCATCTAGTGGTTAGAGGCCAAGGATATTGCTAAACATCCTACAATGCACAGGACAACTCCCCTACCACGAAGAATTATCCGGGCCAGAATGTCAACAGTGCCGAAGCTGAAAAACTCTGTTCTAAGGTAACATCTAGTATTTGTACGGCACTTTTTAGTTTGCAAATGACTTCTATACACACATCTACTTATTTGGTCCTCATAACAACAGTGAAATACACAGGGCAGGTATAATTATTCCAAATTTATGGAAAGGGAAACAAGTCTCAAGGAAATAAATACATAAAATGAACCCTGAGTTATTCAAAGGCACACAACTAATAAGTGACAAAGCGAAGACACTTTGGTTTATTCTCAAAATCACCAGGAGAGCATAATATAATCCAGCTTCCCTTAAGTTTTCAGTCTTAGCAATTAATATAAACCACGAGTCAAATGCATGGTGTGTACTCAATAAATGTACACTGAATTAAAATGATGCTGCTACAGACTTGGTGATTAGACATTTCATTACCAAAACTTCTAATTATATTTGGGGTTAGGCCAGGCATTACAACTGACAAAATACGACTTTTCTCTCTTATGCAAGATACAAGGCTTTCCTCTTTGTTTGTTTACATGACACCTCCCCACTTAGGAACCCAGGAGTTGACAACCACTGAACTGCCCAATTTTGAAGAGTAATTTCCTAGAGAAGATGCTGAATCATTTAAATTGGTTCATTTGTCCATATGTTTATTCAACAAATATTTACTGCACACCTACTATATGCTAGGTACTGTGTTAAGCAAGGATCTCCTGGGTGGTACAGTTAATATGCTTGATTTCTAACCAAAAGGTTGCAGGCTCAAGCCTACCCAGAGGTAACTTGGAAGAAATGCCTGGTGATCTATTTCCAAAAAATCAGGTCACTGAAAACCCTGTGGATCACAGTTCTACTCCGACACACGAGACTGCCGTGAGTTGAAACTGACTTGACGCCAGCTGGTGTTATGCAAAGGGATGTAGTAGAAGCCAAACAGGCATGGTCCCTGCTTTCATGGAACTTAGTCTACTGGGAAATACAAATATTAAAAAATATAACATGCGTTCCAAAGGAAGAAGTAAAGAATACCTACCACTGATTAGCCGCATCAACATAAAAGGGTTTGAAACCCTTTATTGACAAAACAAGCTTTGCTGTGTATCTTCAAGATTACTCTAACCCATAAGTTCCAAGTGAAGTTAGTGAGACTCAAATCTTAGTTAACTGATTCATCTGACAGAAACCTGACTGGCAACGTACCTGCTACATCATGTTATGTGACTTGAAAGGTCCACTAATTCTAACGTGGCTACGGTGCAACGGGTTTCTCTTTATATGTGGCCTTTCTGCCCCTGGGTTTGTAGTTCTCCCAAGACGATTTGCTAGGCCACAATCTTGACAAAGGCTTTGGTCAGTTTACTATGCAAATAAGGTGTGTAAAACCCTTGCAGAAATTAGTTGATTACTATGCAGACTAGGCGACTGTGGCCTACTTAGGGGATTGGTCAGTTTTGCCATCCTGCTACGCTTAAAAGGACTAATCCCAGAGGTTGAGGGGGACCTCACTACCATCAAGAAGAAGAGCCTGGAGGAGAGCATGTCCATGGGGTCCCTGAGCTGAGAACCTCCTAGACCCAGCAGACAGGGAGCTGTAACACTGGAGACTGCACAAAACAGCAAGAGACAGCGCAGCAGTGGCACGAGCAGCAGTGGCAAAGAGGCTGGGAACCAGGAGCCCAGCATGATACAGCTGTGGTGGGCTTACAGGTCCAAGGAATGAGAGAGCTGAGCTTCCTCAGGCAGAAGGCTTGCTGGCAGAGTGGGGTGCCTCCAGGCACAATAAAGCTGTAACACTTGCTTGCGCAGGGCAGAGGCCAGGCTGAGCACGGCCTGCTGGCTGGCTCGACCAAGAAGCAGCTGAGAGCTGTCTTGGTTGGAAGCTGTCCTGATGGACAAACTGTATCCTGTCTCCTGAGTTCTTCTTGTTACTTCCAAACTGATCCTGATCCCAACTTGTAGCCGGTTACCTCCCTAATAAACCACATGATCATGAGTATAGTCTGTGAGTTTGAAGAATTATTGAACCAAGCAGAGTAGAGAGTGCCGTGGGGAGGATGGCTGGTGTCAAGAATGGTGAGGGGGTTGGGAATCAGCTTTGGGCTGCTGATGCTGATCTTGATTCTCATCTCTTCTGAAGTTAGGTGACTTCTGATGCCACCGTGTACCAGTGGGTGAATGTAGTACATAATGACTTTCAGACCAACCTCACAAAGAACAGCACTGTAAGAGAACTGTTGTTTGTATTTAAGGCTTCTGACCCAAGAGCTCCCTCCCCACTGCTTCTTCTGTCCTACTTTTGGCAAAGGAGGCAGAGCCAAATAAGGCCAGCTATAGTTTCCTGACCACTGAGAATAAAGAATACTTCAGTGAACTATTTAAAGTCTGAAGAAAAAAGGACCAGGAAGATAGCCTAAGTTCACTTAGTTAGCTGCCTACCTAACTCCAGAGCAATATGGCATTCAAAAACATCCCCTAAAAAAAAATTCAAAGCTTATACTATACATTAAAATCAAAATGAAAGTTTTTTCCATGAAGGTGACAGGATAAATAGATAAAGGATACTTTCAAAAACAGACACACGGCTGTAATATTCATATTCTTGATAACATCTGTCCCGAGCTGATACTGCTGAAAGCACAATAGAGGAAGCCTTTTTTTTTTATAGCATTGCAATCTTCAATTAGACAATCCACAATGAGATTTGAACCATAAATACATTTTACATGTGTGACTAAAGTGATTATGCTTCTTATATTGCAAGACCATCTGTCACCAACAGCTGTATGCAAGGTGTCACCATTTCCTTCAGAGGGAGCTATATAAATCAATGCAGAGTTTATACTCGGAGAGAAGAAGCCAAGATAAATCTACGGCACAGATATACAAACAGATACACCCACATGAAATACTGCCATACGGCAAGAAGTGAGCGCCTTTAAGAGAAAGGTCTGTGACTGGGACCTATAGAATTTTTCTATTCAACAGTCCTGGAGGTATCCTTATTAGTACATTGAATCTGAAAATGGAACTATGAAATCATACAAAAAGAAACAACAAAGAGGAAACTAAATTAAACCACCTTTCCTCTGAGTTTCTGACAGTTTCTTCCCCCCACCCCCCACCCCTGCCCCCAACTTGTTTGCCAGATTCTGACATGGAAGAATAAAAAGTCCTACATAACGAAACAAATGTCATATAGGGTAGAAGTTCGTCTCCTTCTATTTAAACAGAAGTTCATCTTGTATTCTAAGATGAGAAGGGCTAAGGAGCACCTGTGACTTGGAATAAAAGGATTCCAAAGTGGTTGACCACAGAACCACAAAGAAACTTTCTTAAAAGTATATACTTACGGATTCTGTGCGACTGCTGCTGGCGGACCGATAGGTCCAGTCTATGGTAAGTTTGTCAGTGACATCAGAAGTTGATGTGAAGGTGCATTTCAACTTGATTTCTTCTCCCACATAACCTCGGACATAGGCATCTGTTTTAATCTCCAAGGGAAGGACTATGTAAACACCTAATCAAAGCAAGCGCAAACATTTAAAACGTATTCATTTGGGTAGAGTATACAGATGTCAGCGAGCAATAGAGACACTATTTATCATGTTTAGGGATCTCATCAAAAAGCTATAGCCACCAATACCTTTTCAGGCAAGCTCATGAGGGACAGGGAGCTGATATTTGCATTAATCAAGGGCAATACTTTTAACATTTTTCAATCTTAAATCATAGAATGATTATTTGGGTAATAAGCTGGTCACACCAGCATTTTTCCAAATATAGGCTTGTGGTTAAGTACAAAGAAGTGTGTCTGCCTTCAGTAGGCTAAAAGATACCTCCACCATGTTCCTACCCCCCAATTCCGGGAATATGGCAGCTTTTGCGGTCTAAGGGCCTTAGCCCAATACAGCACAGCTGACACCTGAAGCTACCATGGCCCCAACCACAAGCAAAATGAGAAATAAGAACAGAATTTTTTTTTTTCAAAGGATTTTATAAAACTGTTCCAAGGGTCTCTCTAGCTAGCTTTCTCCCCCTGCCTCCTTCTTAAAGCTGGTTAACAAATCCAGTATCTATTAAATCATGAGGAGGAAAACAGAACAATGTAATGCATTCTAAAATGTAAAAATGAGGTATCATGTTGAAACTCTCTAGAGATTTACTCTTTTCAAAACCACCTCATATATCCAACTTTCACACACCATTCCCCCTAAACAACTAAGCACTTTCTTCTGACCAACCCTCTTACTTTCAGAAAACAGTCAGTAGAAATGTATCTTCCACTAGAGAACCATATTTTATGAAAGTAAATCACCGGCACTTTGTTTTTCCCAAATCCTTATCCACTGCAATAAGCCATGATTCTTCTGGCAGGCCAAAGCCAACAGCAGTGCAGTTTCAGAAGAGCGCAGCCCCACGCAGGGTCCTGAAAACCAACAGTCCTTCTGGTAGAGGAAGGATGGTGTAGTGATTAAAAGCCCAGACTCCTAACCCGAAGGGCCTGGGTTCAGATCCCAACACTACCACTAGCTGGCTCTGTGGCCTTAGAAGTTCCTTTATTTCTGTATGCTTTGGTTTCCTCACCCTCATGGGGACAATGATAATAGTACTTACCTCAGAAGGCTGCTGTGAGGATTAAATGAGTTAAAATATGTACTACACTGAGAAGCCTCCCTGGCCCAGTACAAGTGCTCAGTGCACGTTAGTTTCAACATCATTGTTGTGACCTCTTCAGTCCTGCCTACCCTCTCTCAACCCTTCCTATGAAAGACACAGTTGAGTCATCAATTCCACTGCCTTTACCTCTGCCTACTTTGAATCATTTTTCTTTCCCCTCTCTAGATAATCTAGACTGTTCACATTCCTCTTAAAAGGAGGAGACAAGACTGAGCTCACAACTCTAAAAAGAATCCGACCCATCCCAAAGACAAGGATTACTTCTGGTTCTTCTATAACATCTTCTCTGACTTGGTCATTTCATGCTTCTATGCCTTTGCAAATGCTGTTCCCTCTGCCTGGAAGGTCTTTGTCCCACAGCCCCTACTCTCTCCTGAGCCCCTACTTTGTCCCACAAACTTGAAACAATTTTTATTCATCACTCAAGATCCAGCCTTAAAAACCAGAGGGTAAAAATGAGTGGATAATCTATATTCTCCCCACATCCCATTCTCTTATCCTAAAATCGTAGCATGTTGTTGTTGTTAGTTGCTGTTCTGTCAGCTCCGACTCATGGCAACCTTATGTATAACATAACAAAATGCTGCCCATTCCTGTACCATCTTCATAATCATTGCTATGTTTGAGTCCACTAATTCAGCCACTGTGTCAGTCCATCTCTTCAAGGGCCTCCCTTACCTTTATCGACCCTCCATTTTACCAACCATGATGTCCTTTTCTAGCAATCGGTCTTTCCTAATGATGTGTCCAAAGTAAGTGAAACAAAGTCTCACTAGCCTCAAAAATAATAATCTTTCCTTGACCCTACAACTCTACTCCAGTTACCAATTAGTGCCCCCTCTTTCTAAGCCAAGCTTTGGTGAAAGAGTAGTCTACAACTGAGGTCTCCATTTCCTCCCTTCCTATTCACTTATAAGTTCACTACAATCCTGACCTCACCACTCCTTCTGGTCAAGAGTCTTAAAACTGCAGAATCCAGTGGATAAAAACTCCAACAGACACTTTTCTGCCCTTGTCTTATTGGACCTCTCTGCAGCAGTGACCATTTACTTGCTCCTTGAACTTCTCTATCCCAGGGCTTCCATGACAATGCTCTCATTCATTCACTCATTCTTCAAACATATATTTATTGAGTATCTGTTTTGTTCTACCCTCTGGACTTCAGATTAAATATGAAAAAATAACTACATCTCCTGTCTTGGAGCTTAAAATCCAGTGGAAGCTAGAGACATTAATTAATCACAAAGATAAATGCATAATTACAAACTCATAAGTGCTACGAAGGAAAGACAGAGTAGCTATGAAAACTGCACCTGTTATGGTGGGGAAGAGGAGAGTGGTTAGTGAAAGCTTCCCTGAAACAGTTACTTTTGAGCTGGGATCTGAGAAAGGGTAACAAGGTGAGAAGAAGGAATGCATTCCAGGCAGAGGAAACAGCACCTGCAAAGGTCCTGTGCCAGGAGGGAGCGCAGCCAGTCAAGGAACTGAAAGGACAGCTGCAATACAGAGAGCATGAGAGAGTAGTTATAATGTGGCTAGGAGATAAACAGGAGCCAGACCATGCAGGACCTTAGAGATTTGTGTCATTGTCCTTAGAGTAATGGGAAGCCATGGGAAATACTTGAATGTGGGACTGAGTGAGAAGAGATATGATGAAATTTGCATTTTTAAAAGACCACTCTAGGGAAGACACTTAAGAGTCAAGAGTGAATATGGAAGATAATCTAGAAAGCTACTACAACTGTCAAGTGAGAAATAAGGAAAGGTTGAACTAAGTCAGTGGCAGTGGACATGGAGAGACCTAGGCAAGGTAAAATCAACAAAAATTGTTGATAGTTTGGATATGGAATGTTAGGGAAAGGAAAGTGCCAAATAACCACACACACCCCCCCGCTAGTTTCTGATTGGGTGATGCCATTCACTGTAACAGGGAAGACTAGAAAAGTACCAGGTTTGGCAAAGAAGAACATGAATTTGGTTTCTCAAGAGTTCAAGGTGCCTTTGAGATACCCAAAGGATAATGTCAAGTTGGCAGTTGGTTTAGGGCAGGGATTGGCAAAATATGGCCCATGGGCCAAACTCAGTCCACAACATCTTTTTGAAAATAAAGTCTTATTAGAGCACAGCCACACTCATTTGTTTATGTATTGTCTACAGCTGCTTTTGAAGGAGCTCTGGTAGTGCAGTGGTTAAAGAGCTTGGCTGCTAACTAAAAAGTTAGCCGTTTGAACCCATCAGCCACTTCGTGGGAGAAAGATGTGGCAGTCTGCTTCCATAAAGATTTACAGCCTTGGAAACCCCATGGGGTAGTTCTACTCTGTCCTATAGTGTCGCTATGAGTCAGAATCGACTTGACGGCAGTGGGTTTTATAGCTGCTTTTGCACTGCTTCAGCAGAACTGAGTAGTTGTGACAGAGGCTGCATGGTCAACAAAGTCTAAAATATTTACACTCTAGGTCCTTACAGAAAAAAAAATTGCTGACCCCTGATTTAGAACAGAGAAGAAATCTGGGTTACAGTTATAAATCAGAATCTCATTAGTCTCCTGCCAATCAACTCTCCACGCTATTGTGTTACACACACACACAACTCAACATCTCTGACAGTTTTTATCAAATCTCTTACTAAGGCACCTTGTTTCCTATGAAACCAAACCAAACCCGTTGCTGTCAAGTCAATTCCGACTCACAGCTACCCTACAGACCAGAGTAGAACTGACCCAGAGGGTTTCCTAGGAGCAGCTAGTGGGTTCAAATTGCCAACCTTTTGGTTAGCAGCCAAGCTCTTAACCACTGCACCACCAGGGTTCCTTCTTTCCTATACCCATCCCTTAAACACTTATGTTCCTTAGAGCTCTACCCTGAGCCCATGGTTCTTATTCAACATGTTCTCCTTGGACAATCCTATCCATTTTTATAAACTTACAACCACTAATATGTTAATGGAACCCTGGTGGCACAGTTGTTAAGAGTTTGGTTGCCAACCAAAAGGTTGACAGTTCCAGTCTACCAGCTGCTTCTTGAAAACCCTATGGGGCAGTTCTATTCTTCGGTCCTACAGGGTCGCTACGAGTTGAAATCAACTCCACAGCGATAGGTTTTTAATATGCTAATACAGGAGCCCTGGCGGCACAGTGGTTAATGTGCATGACTGCTAACCAAAGGGTCAGGCAGTTCAAACCCACCACCCACTTCAAGGCAGAAAGATGTAGCAGGCTGCTTCTGTAAAGATTACAGGCTTGGAAACCTTATGGGGCAGTTCTACTCTGTCCTATAGGGTTGCTATGAGTTGGAATCAACTCAGTGGCAATGGGTTTAACATGTTAATGTTCCCCAAACTATATTGCTAGTATGATCGTCCTCCAAGCATCCAAATGTTCTTAGATATATCCACTTGAATATCACCACCACGGGACCCAAATTGAAGGCTGAGGAATAGAGGCCTGGATGATACAGTTTACGGGGTCAGCTTTCCAGGAAGTAGAGAAGAACAGACAAGGGGAGTGGATGGATCTGGTGGGAAGTGAGCAAAAGATTAATAACTAGCAGCTGAGCTTAGTCCCACTTCTAAGGGTGACCCAGATTGGCTTAAATCAATCATTACATCCAGTGGTGTGCTGGTAAACAGCTCCAAAAAAAAAAAAAAAAAAAGCTCCAATATATAGGGCTTGACAATTTCTGTAGTGTAACTATTCTCACCATGGCTAATTTCAAGCTACAAAGATGAAGTTACTGAATGCTGAGTAAGGAAGAGATGAGCTTAACTGGCTCTTAACAGAGCTGGCTCCAGCACATCATTCCCCTGGCCTCTAGAGATTAGTTTGCAGTCAACATGTGATAT